AAACTTTCTGAAATGAGATCAATCATCATAAAGTTGATTGTGGATAACCAAAACTTCTTCATATCGTGTAGTTTTTAAGGTTTTTTTTCCAATAGTTTATCCCAATTACAGGTTAATTGTATATTCTAGATTTTCTACATCTCCCTAGTGCTAATCTATGCAATGGTAAAGTTAGCCAGCTAATGAAGAAATGCTACAACATTTTCTAATGTTGTATAGTGAGAAGAGTTTTTTTCGCATTTAAAAAGTCGAAAAATAAATTTAACCATTCCTTCCAATCATAATCTTATATTTGTGGAAATTCACTATATTTTTCGATGTAAATATATACTGAATATGCTTCCAAGTCAATAGAGACTGCTAGTGTTTTCCAAATAAACAGCTATAAGCTCTAAATTTTCTTTAAATTTACTTCAAAGCTGTAAAGCCTTCTAATACTATTTTACTTTCATAGCATGCAAGCTTATAATAAAATTACTCTAGCAGTTTTAAAAGTAGAATATATAGGGGTTAATGGTCAAAATTGTATTCACTATGTTTATTCTCAGTCATAGTCACTATGACGATTAATTGGCAAGTTTCTGTTATTCCTTAACCTATATTAACAAGAATATAAAATACAAATCACTAGGCGAAAATTGACTAAAAAAAATTTTAATATTTTATTCTTATGAAATATGAACGAAACACAATATTCTGTAAAAAAAAAAACAACAGATAACCTGATCATATTGATTCTATTGATGTAAAAATAGAACTTGGGCGCTATAGTAGCGTATCATTCTCTGCTTATTTGTTTGTTGTATATTTCACACTGTTTTTAATCACACTGATTCTCTTGATAGATACGTTTATATATGTATACATATTCAAACTTGTTTTTGTCAGTATATAATGTACCGACTAGTATTTATAAAGCATGATATATTTGTTACTTCTCCGAGGTTTTTCTTAGGAAATACGATGATATTCTCTCATACAAGAAACATTTTTGAACGATATGGATCTAGAATATAATTTTTTAGATATTATATCGTATGAAATAGATTAGAAGTTTTGTGATTCTTTGTTAAGTCACCATAGTGTATTGATATGAACTAGTTTTAGTTGCACATAGTATTCGTTTCATTTTTAACTTCATTTGAAGTCAAAACTCGGTACAATATAAGTATCAAGAAATACACAATACAAAATAATATAAAAACAAGATTAACTGAACATGGTATAGGGAGGATAGATGGGGAGAAAACAGGAATGATTTACTAAAGAAATAATCACAATGATACATTCGAAAAAGTTGTCGTTTTAAACCTCCTTATTGATCTTGGTTTACAGTTTAATCACATGTATTTTGTTTTCTGGAACGTCGGGACAAATTTACATCCATAGTTAATATAGTGCCAAAAAGGAACAGAAAGACCGATAGAAATAAGATGAATAGTGTAAGAAAATAGGGAACATGAAGTGAAGAGTAATAAAACATTTTCTTATGAAGAGTGAATACCTCTTCACATTGTGATTTATTTTGAACTGTTTCATTTATAGTCTGTAACCACTGATTCCTAGTATTTCGAAAAGCCCAACTAAGTAGCCCACATACTCCTACGCCCTTAAGGCTAACGGTCAGAAATTTCGGCGACTGACGCTATTTCCTTTTCAGACTATCTTAAGCTTTCTTTCACTCACATTATACTTCAGCTAAAATTCTGTGTAAATGGAAACTTGACCACCATATCAGTCGATCCAGGCTTACAGTTTTATCATACATATTATCTTCTTTACCCAAAGATGTACCAGTCTGGTGCACTCACCATTATCATTAAGTTAACAGTGATTGAATACTTTAAGACTTTGAAAATCCTCGGCCTTCAATAGCAACATGAAACAGCTAAATAACAAGACACAAAGGGTTGCAGTGCTGTAAACTGGACTGTTCGTGGGTGCCAAAATCAGTATATTTCGACAAACGTTAACCTACCTTTTACCCCTCTACTGATGTTTCCTTCTCTACCTATCTACCCAATCTGACATGAATTCTAAGGTAACTAATATGGTTTACACGTTCGATCACTTCGTTTCTCACTGTCAGACCATAAATTGATTCAGATCAGTCCTAGATCAGAAAATTGTACTTGAGTAGTGTAAAAAATCATTTCAAACATTTCCGGATGGTTGTTCAATGTGTTCAGCAGACTACATGTTGTTGGTGTCTTCGCTTACTAGGACTATACCATCTACATGCTTTAGACATTAAAAAATATCCGGTAAAATCGACTTCTGGGATTCGAATAGAAAGAAAAAGACTTTCATAAGTATATCCATAACAAAAGCCAAAAAGCTTGCGCGACTACCTTTAGATGCTGTTCATATCTACTAGAATTTCTAGTTACCAAAATCACTGGCTACAATAAATCCACTACGAATTTCCAAAACGGTTTCAGCATCCCATATAACTAAATTGTCACATTCTTTGATCAGAAGCCAGCGTGTTTTCTAACCTTTATTTGTGAGATGTTGGCTTTCGAGACTTCACCTTTATACTTATTGAAAGGATATATGAGTAAACTCCAGATTATGTATTCAGAAAAGCACATTTTACACCCTAATACAGCATTCTTAATATTCTTGAGTTACAGGTTTTATGAAGGACAAGATTTACAAGGTCGTTGAAATAGAACGCATGAATGTTTCAAACGTATGTTATTCCTTAATAGATTGGTTGAAGAAAACCTGTTAGTTTGGATGTTTATCGTAACTTAATTCACTAGCAACCTGGATTTCAGTTTTATAGAGTAGTATACTTGTATATTCTCTTATCCTTGAGTGTGCAAGTGATAGCGAAAGAAAACACCATTATGTGGTGGCTATGGGATAAGTTGGTTTCCACTTTACAAATGATTACAAGTGAATCTGGTTTAACACTACAATCGTGGGTAAATCACCTTTCTAAAATATGAGAATTATAACAAGACATGTAAGTGAACTATATTGTTTTCAATTAGATTTCAGGCTTCACTGTAATATACATAGCGTTCAATATATATATATATATATATATATATATATATATATATATATATATATATATATATATATATATATATATATATATATATGAGATGTGAACCAATCAAGATAATTTAGGAGTCAACGATTGTAAGGATACGGACTGTATACTTCTGAGTAATGAAATTGTCGGCAGTGTAAAGGATAATACGAATGTTCAGAATGGCATTACAACATAAACAGATGTTAGGACAAACAGACAAAGTAGATCAAATCTTGGAAAACTACAGTGAGGTCACGTAATACTGGAGAATGAAGGCGGAGAATAAAATGAAGTTGGCATGGGAAATAAGTAGTGATGTGAAAGGGGTGACAAAAGTAACCTAGAAAAGAGGGAATGAGAGCATTTTAAAAAATTCATTGGTAAGGTCATTCATTAAATCTTCTGTGGGCAAAGCAGGGATAACTGCAAATTCCCTTTGAATACAGAGCTACGGACTGTTCATCCAGATTCTTATAGCTTCAGTTATATGTAGATGGTAGGTTCGAACTCCATCCCTTTTACTACCACTAATTTAATTATTCTAAAGTACACAATCCACATCCGTGTTATCATTGACTCACAAACTTACGTTGATTGGTTCATATTTTATGTATGTGTTGACAGCTATGTATATTAGAGGAAAGCCTGAGATCTAATTGAAAACAGTATTGTTCACTTGCATGTCTTATTCTAAATCACCTTTTAAAAGAAATATCCCTCTTTATATCCATCCTAGCATTTACGCTCATTTTAAATGAGATACCTAATAAGTTAGTTTAATCGCTATAAAGTAGTACGTTCAACAGACCAAATTCAAAATGAATTATTACTTCGTCTACATGCTTGATTCATCACCACACAATAGTAGATGTTGCTGATATGAACGCTAGTTGAACATTACCGATGTATCAGTAAAAAAGTCATGAAAACCAATTTATATCCTACCCGACTACATACCTAAGAATTCCTGCTTCTGTCATCACTAAAGCTTTTTACTGCAGACGTTAAATGGTCTTCACACTATTGACTGACTGTGTATAACGAATTTTGTTTCCAGAATTCACAGGCTCTTGAAAAATAAATAAAAACGTAGTTACTTCACTGGTTTTCGTTATTTTCAAGATATTCCTCATATTTTATCATGAAGTTCGATGTCTACTGTGTTACTTCAAGAGAATACTTCTGGGGTAATTATAATTTAATAGATATACTGTTTATTAATAAAAACCACTATCGAAAGTCGCTGGCACTGGAAAGTATTTTGTATTTGCTCTGCGACTATTTTTTAGATGAGTTTTTATTTATGTTTTCTAGAAGAAACAGCTGATTTAACTTTGAATGTTGTACACTTCGATAGATTACCGAAAGCTGAACTAGTAACGACCAGTTGTTGATATGTTTTCGTCTAGCCTGTAGGTAGATACTTTGTTGCAGGGGACCCGTAGAGCAGTATGAGTTTAGTGGTGGCCAAGAGAATCTGGAAAGGGAAGAGAGGAAAAGAAAAAGGTGAGCTAATGACTCAGCAAGTACAAACTTATCGAGATTATTACTGCAGGGACGATCAAAAAATGCTTCTGTGTTGAAATGCATCGAATAACTTGATTCAACCTGATAATTTGTGATGAATGACAATAAAGTGTATTGCACATTTTGAATACTACTGCAAAATAAAATGACTATAGATTACAGTGATCAAAAACAAAGTGTTTGTGAGATGTCGATTGATGTACGGTAACTGCACGTTTCATCTATTAGCCGCCGATTTCAGTTTGTTAATTTTTTAAAGCATTCTGTTTTATTTGTTACAGATGTCTAGTTTTTATGTATCCTTCATCGTCTAATGCTTCAGTGTTTTACCTGGTTTTTTAGGGAAATTATTCACATTTCTAAATTATTAATTGTGTTTTATGTCTTTACCCATATTCTTCTTGATGTACATTTTTTTTTCCAGGTGATGCGACACAACCTATGCTAGACAGCAAATTGTTAGCTAAGCTAAGAGACTTTTTTCGAACCAGACCTACCGCTGCATCCTTACGTTCTCGTGGAATTCTGAAAAGTAAGCACTAGGTATTTAATGCCTACTTTATATAATTTCCTATTACAAAAGTTTTCATTCATATGTGTCTAAATTTTATCTTTAAAAGTCAATTGATTGGAAAGGGAATGATGTTATCCGTGACACTTTTCTTAACTAGATATCCAAGAAATTAGTTGGGTACTTGAGACATTCAACTTAGTAGTGAACAAAATAAATTTTATATTCTGACTTTGAGTATCAAGTTTTCGCAGAATAAGGATTTTAAACATTGATGTTTTTCCCGGTATCACTAGACAGAATATCGTCATTGTTAGTTTAACAAATTTACTTCAAAGCTTCAGCAGATCCGAGATTTGATGAAATCGTATTATCTTTATCGTGAGATATTAGGATTCAGTGGACCGTTTAACTCTTCTCATACATATTAACCATTCACTCCAAAGGAAATTGCATAAAAATAGATTGTACTCAGAATAATCGACAAACTATGACCAGATTGTGAAAGAAGAGCATGACGCTAATTCCCACCTAAAAATCGATTTATAATATAAAATTATTCTGCGTATCTTTTTTGTTTTTTAACAAGTTTGTTTATGTGAAAAATATATAAATAGCAGAATTTCTATTATTACTGTACTTGTAATTTTCCGTTGGTGTACCGGGCCGAATTGCTCAACCTCTGTTGGCAGATGGGCCCCTATGCGGGTGCCCCGATACTGCTGGATATTCATGATTTTACATTGTATATTATTTTGTATTATTGTCATTATTATATTGTATAACAACGGGAAATTACGAGTATCATATCAAAAACTGATACTTGTTGTACAAGAAGTGGCTATTGTGCTCCAGTGGCTTAATGGATAGCGCTGTGGCGTTTGAAGCGATGGGCACTGGGTTCGAGACTCAATAGGAACAACATCACTCACTAGCTAATGAGTCGCAGATAGGACGAAACGTGCATCCTGGTTTTCTCTGCTACTTACCAGGATTTATATAACAAAATTTGTAAATAACTCATTGAACACTGATTTGACTGATTGTCATATAGCCTTGGTGGTATAAATAAGGCTCATATAAATGGAAAGTTTATAAGTACATGTTAAAGAAAGGGGACAGAGTTATGTTGTTTGCCTGCTGGATTTTTTTTTCATCAGTAAACTGGTTCTTTCATTGAAAGAATACAAGCGTCCACTCTTTTTCAAGGAATAGTTCATCATTCTCAATGATATTTATTGAACTGTTCATGTAATTAGCAGTAACAGGGCATACTATTATCATACGTAATATAAATAGAATTAGTTACATTTTCGATTCTATATACCACCAGCAAACAATATACCTCGCTGTTTTAATTATGTATTATAATCTGCAAATGAAATAAATATGTGTATGGTAGTGAATTAGTGGAAAATTTACTGAAATCACCCAGTCATGAAAAGTACTCTCATTAAGATTTATCTGCGTCTATTGATAATCTCCTGAGTGTGAGGAAAACTAAATCATTATCTAGTCTTTAGATGTTTTGGTAACATCAAAACTAGGTGGTCTTATTTTACTATAAAGAGTGAACCTTTGGGATTGTAGTAGGATGTAATTCCAGCTTACATTTTTTCCTGTGGTTTTGCATGCCAACAAACTTTAATGAAAAGATCAGGTGGAAAATCAATTATCATACTAATTTCGTTATATGTTATCAAGACAATCGGTGTTATATACAATACAAGGGTAATTTGTTCTCATACCTATGAAGTAAACGACAGAATGACTTAACATACAACTGATGTATAGAACAATTATAAGCTGATAAATCTAATAACCGTTTTAAGTTTGATTCACACTAACCTTAGATTGTTTAAAGTAATTGAAATTCGCAATGCAATGGGATATATATCTCATGCCTTCTTGAGTTTCTTTGCATGCTTGCCAGTAGACGGAATTGACTTTTTGAAGTTTAACAAGTTTGTTTTTATGATCACTGAAGTAATGATTCATTTTAAACTTTCAAATTTCATCTTCAGATGAATCTGTGTTTGCCTCCACAATTATGCAAGTCTGTGAAAATGAAAATTCTGATGTTCCTAACTTTGTTATCCGTGCTATTCGTGCCATTGAAGCTCGAGGTAATTAATTTTAAAGTTTATTTTACTGTAGTATCCAATTTATCTTCCTAAGAACTATACTTTTCGAGGTTATATATCCTGTTTCACTTCTGTGTTTTTTTAGTTCATCATTGTTTCTCACTTATTTACATTCATACAGAGTAATGGGAAGGCCAAGGTTATCATTTTGACTATTTGAGATAGACATGGTTTTGGGAGACTTGTATAATAATACCGGGTGGTAATTGAAAGTGAAATGAAAATTTGGACTGTGAACGGATTTGGACCAGCGACCACTTGGTTTCGGATCTGTTGTTCTACCAACTGAGCTCGAGCCATCAGACACCCGATGATCACTGGTTGGAATCATGCTATAGTCTGAATTCTCATTTCACCTTTAATCATCACCCAGCATCAAGACAAAGATTATCTGAAATCTGTAATGTATTAATTAGTGTTTTACATTTTGAAAAATCTGATCACACACAGACTTGTTGATTTGTTTATATAAAAATTTACGAAAACTTCGATTAAGTCAATAGGAAACACAAAAATATAAGGGGCAGAATGAAAACAAACGGCTATCTTAAATAGTCAAAAGGATAATCAATATGATGCTCCTCCTCTCTAATTCAAGTAGATTTATATACGGATGACTGACTAGGAAGCCAGCGTGAGTACGATCAAGCAGTAGTAACACGTCACGAGCTCACATGACAGTCGGATAAAAACCTTGATGATTGAAGTGAAATAAAGGTCTGGTCAGGAGCCGGGTCTCGTAGCTGAGATGATAGAGCACCGGACCAGAAACCCGGTGGTCGCTGGTTCGTATCCCACCGTGGACCGAATTTCCATTTCACCTTTGACCACCGTCCAGTATCAAAATGTAATTAACATCACTCTTGATATGGAAATTAAAATCAGTACTATCAATGTAGTTTCTAAGTGAGTACAAATTATTTTGAATACATAAAGAGGGTTAAAATTTATGGATGGCTAGAGTAAAATGATCTCAGTCGATCCTATAGGTGCAAGTGACAAAGGTCCATTTTCATCTGTTACAAATCATATTTTAAAAATTAGTCATAGGATAGCCACCAAAACCGTTGACATTGATTGGTCACTAGAGGGTAACTAACTTCATGTTATGCTGATCGAATTTTATTGATCATTTTTCAATGCAGCCACCAGACTAGGCGACTCAGCATCTGCAGATATTGGAGATACGTCTTACTGATGAGTGCAAATAAGCACGAAACCTAAATCCAGGGCTTTCTTCTGGTTGCCTACATCCAATTAACATTAAAACAGTTTTTAAAGAATTACATAAAAGTGGGGGAGGGGGATGAGTGCTTAAATGTATCGAAACTCCAGCCCACTTTGTGTGTGCAAAATTAATTGGTACTCACTTTGAACCTACCTTGGTGGTATTGATTTTAATTTCAATACCAAGAGTGATGTGATTCAGATTTTGCTTCGTTCTGCCTTTCATGTCCTTACTGACTTAATCGACCTTTCATAAATTTTCATGTAAATAGTTCAGGTCAGAATTTTTGAAATGTCTAGCACTAATACATTACATATTTCAAATAATTTTCGTCATCTCATTACGCTATGTAGATTTATCAACTGGACTTCTTGCTTTTATTTACATTCGTTTGGACATAATATAAACGTTATAAGTAAACCGCTATTCAATTAATGTATGTAATCCAGTCCTACAGGATGTCAGTTGGGACCCGAATAGCTCAGTGATGGCGTCGCTGACTGCAGCACAGAGTGACGCGGATTTGAATTTCACTGGAGACATCAGTTCCCTGGAGGTTGCATACACACCTTGCTGACGAGTTTCGACAAGCACGAAACTTAGGTGAGACAAGGCTTTCGGCCGATTGCCTCCAACCAACTAACATCTATCAATGTGCACCGAGATGCTGAGGCTCCTAGCTTACTGGACACATTGCAAAACGACCAACAGAATTCGACCAGTACTCAAAACTAGACAACATAAGATTAGCTACTCTCCAGTGACCAATCAGTGTATGCTATTCAGTTGCAATTGTTCTAATAAGCTGCAAACTGTGGTAATATATATGCCTATTTTTGAATGTTACTCGTGGAGTATTTCAAGTAATGGCTAGTTTCATCTCAACAAGTACTTACAGCAAAGTTAGATTTAAGTTCGAAATTTCAATTATGACTTTATGGTTAATTCATACATGATAAAACTTAACGGACACAATTCAAGCAGTTGGAAATTTATGACTAAAATTGGTTAATGCCTAGACAATTAATTATAAATGTTTTCCCACCAACCTATATAGCTTGAAATGGAATTATGTTTAAGACATGCAGTTTTGTTGCTAAAAGGCCTGATGTCAGTAAATATCACTTGTCAAACAGTTTAGGTATGTACCATAGATTTAAAGTGATTGGCACCTACGTATACAGATTAGTAGTACATATGAGTGGCTCTTGGCCATACATAGTCTTAGAACTGTAAGCACTTTTATGTCTTTCAAGAATGTGTAGTGGTTGACGAAAGTCATATGGACGAATAAATGGGTTCAGTGTTCTTGCTAGTGATTAAAGACTTTTCTTTCTTTTTCCTATGGGGATATCATGTGTTTAATGGGTGTTTTGGAAAAATAGGTCACTTCGTTTGCCATTTATATTATTATTACAATGATCTTTGCTGACTGTTAACTAGATTATTTCTAATCGACTGGTGTACTGTTCTCAGTATGCGGGTATGATTATTGGAGTTGTACTTCTGTGTTACAATCCTGCCGATGTCTTTTATGCATACCCTCATCTGAAGGTAATAATTTATCTCCCTGTAGATATTCTACGTCAAGTTCATCCGAATACTGCAGATTACCCCTCTTTGAAATATATCTCATATCAATTGACTATCTGAGATAGCCGTGGTTTTTCAGACTACTATTGATACTAGGTGATGATTGAAGAGGAAGTGAAAATTTGAACTGCAACCGGATTCGAACCAGCAACCACCGGGTTTCCGACCCGATGCTGTACCAACTGAGCTACGAGACCCAACTGCTGACGAGATTTTCATTTCACTTCAGTCGTCATTGCTGTTTCCGCTTCATCGGCATAGTGAGTATTTTCGAAACCAGACGTAATAATTGTTGTGTTTTGCTGAGGACTTCTCAACCTGTGGGTCACTCAGTTGAAGTTAGGTGGACATCAAACTTATTGTTAAGACTAACTCAACTCCACCATATCTGGGCTGTAATTCAAAATACTGATTCATCGGAATAAAATTCATCAAATAAGGTGTAACGTTTTACATAAACGCAGATGATTAAATGTTGATTAGTCACGGGAGTGCAACCAATTTCATGTTGTGTAGCCCTGAGTGCAGATCGAATTCTATCGATCATATTTGCAATGTGGCCACCAAGCTAGGAAGCTCAGCATCTCGGTGCACATTAGTAGATGTTAGTTGGTTGGAGGCAATCGGTAGTCTTGGCCCGAATAGCTCAGTGGTAAAGTCGCTGACTACAACACTGGGTGACGGGGGTTCGAATCTCAGGCAGGACATCAGTTCCGCTGAGGTTGCAGATACGCCTTGCTGATGAGTGCCGAAAAGCACGAAACCTAGGTTGAGCAGGGCTTCCTGCCGATTGCCTCCAACCAATTAACAGATGATTATACTTCCCTTACGAAATAGCTAATGTAGTGTGTAAGAATCTTCAATGATTATCACATGGTAATTAATATGTAGTGTTTTATAAATTTCGGTAATATTTCGAACAAAACTACTACCTGTGATTGAATCAATTGTTGGAATTACTTATTGTATGTACACTTTTTCCTTGATTTATCAACACAATAACCTGTATATGTAGAAATTAAGCTGTAAGTGTATTCCTTCTTCAAGAATGATGATTATTAAATTCTCGCTATTCCCTCCCTCTCTCTCTCTCTCTCGTTTGTTTATAAATATTAGGACTTGATCATGTTGGGATTTATCGATTAAATGGAAATGGTGCTACAATACAAAAGCTTCGTTGCGCTGTTAACCAGTGTAAGCTGAAAATGTTCACCTTATTTTATTTCTTTCTATACATTCCTTTATTTACACATTTTATTAAATTATATAATGTTTGCATAAAGTCAGTATAGTAAAATATTTTTTTCACTTGTATGTCACAAAAATGATTTTAAAAGTAGGCACTTCGAAAGAATAGTGCCTATCCCGCTAAACACTAAGATGGAACTAATGGAAAATTTTGATGTAGTAGAGCTTTCTGGGTTTCTTCTTTCTTGTTACCTGTAAGTGTAGTATACAGATAATAATAAAAAACAACATCAAACTGAGCCGTAAACGAATGTTTTAAATCTTATCATTGTCCTTTACTTGGTTGTGGCTCGCAGAAGAATCTAGGAAGCTCGTCTCATTCTATTTGGGATTCGTCAGCTGGAAGTATGTGCACCCCAGTCGGTGATGTTGTTCCCACCGAGACTTGAACCTTGTACTCATCGCTTCAAACGCTAAGGCGTTATCCACTAGACCACAGAGGTACAATAGCCACCTCTTATACAATGGGTATTAATTATTACTGTCCATAGATGATACGTAGTGACAAAAGGCAGCCAATAGGGGATTTTTCAAGTCGTGATCAGATCACGTTCAGGTCATGACTTATGCATGCACTGACATGAGGACCTGATTGGAGAAATTCGACCTCATACAAGAAATCTGACTGGTTCATTTATGGCTTCACTTTCTAAGAGTTTTGTAACTACATACATGTCATGTATTTGTCTAATAAAAGTTGTTATCGCTGTTCTTGCAGTCACAGGCCGTCTTTGTCTTCTAATTTTTCCGCGGCTCAGAGAAGTAGAAGGTACTGAGTGAGGTCAGTCGTAAAGATATTCGGTTGAAGTGTCTATTGAGTCTGAGTATTCATTATACCCACGCGCGCAACCCCACCACTTGGTCACAACAATAGATATGATGCTTATAATTCTCCATTGGATTCTTCTGCTAGCCACAACCAAGTAAATTACCATAATTAACATTCAAGCAAGTTCATATACCAATAGAGGTCTAACAATTCGATCCAGTAAAACAGCGGAGAATTACAAGTATATCCATAAATAATAATAACTTATCACTATCTGTTGGAATTTTTGACCTTTCTCGTCGTTGATTTAGATCATCCTCATAAATATCTGTCTACGCAATCTAAGGAAGATTATTCACCCTTTCCTGATACACAGTTATGAACTAAACTTGATATTCGTACCTGTCGAATTCAATTAATTTAAGAATGCACAGTATTAGTCGTATTTTAATGCAACTATCTTCCATTGAAAGATATTTAAGAAGATATTCTCGTATTTTCATCTTTATATCTTTTTAATACACGTGAATTTGTACATTATTATGATGTAAGCTTTTGACGGTAAACAGTGAAACTTCTATCAAAACAATAATGATTAGTTTTTTCAATTACTGAGAAACATTCTTTTGGATGATGGTTATTGTTAATCATTTAAGAAAAAATTTTTAAAGAATTAGCTTTTATCATGAAATTTAATGTGCTGTTAAGTTAAAACACAAGGAAAGATAATCTGTTCTCAGTGAGTGTATCAGATTTACTTTGGATACATTCCTAAAATATTTATATGATCCTCTTAATTATTTTCATGCCTATCAACAATGAATTAGTCACATAAACCAAGTTAATGCAGATAACTGTGTTGAGTTCTGAATGCATTACTTCTACATTACGGTCAGTAACATAAAATTTAAGTGTTAAAGGAACTGAAATACATAAAAAAGCTCTCATAGATAATAACTATTCGCTAACGTTTATTAAGAAATTTGTGAGAACATATAAGACACACAGCCTCCATTGTGTTACCTTATAAAGAAGGAACATTAGAAACTTTACGTATGATCCTCAATAAAGCCGGAATTAGAGTGACATTTAAACCTACAAACTCACTCAGAGATAAGCTTTGCCGACTGGCTTAAGGATCCGATAGAACCAACTAAGCAAAATAATCTAATCTATCAAATTCCATGTCATGACTATGAGGTCAAGTACATAGGTCAAACTAGCCGGTTGGTGTCAGTTAGGTTCGTGGAACATAGGAATTTAACTAAATATAGAATGATAGACTGCAATAAGATCAATAATCAAGAAAAATACTCGGCTATTGCAATGCATGCGTTAACACACAATAGGGTGAGATAAAACCACTGTACTTAAGTCCAATATATTTAGGTGGAGAGAGCGAGGGAGATTGACTACTGAATCTTTTTTCATCAAATCAACACGCAACATATGTAATAGGAATAATGCAACACCCAAACCAGAGATATGGGGAATTTTACCACCAATAAAAACAAATAATATGAGATGACAGAACTATAAAAAGCGGATGTCAAAAGTGGTGTAATTACATTGATATTGATTATGAGCAGTGATAATTTATGCTGGAAACGCCGTCATCAAGTAAATAATACTGTATCACTCACTGTGTGTTATAAACCAAATAAACAAATCTAATATGGGATCAGTTATATTGAACTTCATGTTAGAGGTGAAGTTTGTTGAACCGCCTATCACTTGTACACTGTGTGTTTCATCCACCTGATATAACTGATTCATTGCTTTTAATCTTAGAATTTTGACACTGAGGAACTTCAGTTCCTTATCAGGATTTAAATGACATTGAATGCGTTAAAGCGTATGATACCTCCCGTTTTTTTTTGAATCGTTGCCTAAAGTTTGAGTGGTACAAAATCTAAGCAACAGTTCTGTATTAGTTTTTATGATAACAGGAGACCTTGTGCATTGTATCCGCATCTTTAAAACAGCGCCTTTTCTGTCTTTCTTTTCGAGTAATTTGAATATAGTATAAGGGTTTTTATATGGTACCGTCGTTGATTGGACCGAATTGATCGATCTCTATTAGCATATGGGCTCCTGTGCGGATGCCTCGATATTGTCAGCAATCTAGTTATGTTAGTGATGGAACGTGGCTGGCAGTGGAATCCAGGATGCGCATTTCGTCCTATTTTGGACTCACTGGTCATCTGGATGTACCTGCTTCCCAGTGAGTGTTGTTCCCACCGAGATTCGGACTCGAGAGCGATCGCTTCAAAAGCCAGCGCGCCATCGAGCCATAATAGCCACTTCTTGTGCCGTGATCCATCATTAACATAATTAGATTGCTGGCAATATCGAGACATCCGCAAAGGAGCCCATATACTAATGGAGACCGATCAATTCGGTCCAATCAACGACGGTATGATATAAAAAGAATTAGACTAAAAAAACTATACCCGTCGCACAAGAAGTGGCTATCGTGGCTCGATGGCGCGCTGGCTTTTGAAGCGATCGCTCTCGAGTCCGAATCCCGGTGGGAACAACAACACTCACTGGAAAGCAGGTACATCCAGTTGACCAGTGAGTCCTAAATAGGACGAAATGCGCATCCTGGATTCCACTGCTAACCACAATTCATCATTAGCATAATTTGAATATAGTTTACAAATGATTATGTTGATAAAAAGGGGGCAACATAATTGCCTTTTATTTCACTTTGACCTATAATGATATTTTATCATTTATTTAACAAAAGTAGACATTTTTCGTCTTCTTTAATTACATCATATGATCATTTCAATGGAAAATGGTTAGAAGAGAAATATAAAAGTAACGTATTTATTACTGTTGTTATCATTTTTCACGTGTGTTCTTACTTAGTAAAGTTTAATGTTTAGTACTTCAAATCGATAAATCAGTTGTGTGTTTCTAATTTTTTTAATCTTAAAACTATTACTAAATTGTTAACTAGACTATGAAGGCTTTTGTTCCAAGTTTTAGAGTCATTTAATAAGATAACGATAGAAAGTATTTAAGCATTTTCATTTGAAAGGATACAATAAACAGTATGCGGCAATTTGACTTATCAAGAGATTTCTGTCTGGTTGAATCAGGTTAATCTTGACACTAAAGACTAGTTGCACCTGATAATATGCAAGTTCATAAACGAAACTATATGTTCATAGGAAAAGACAAGACGTGGTTACTGAGAAGAAAAAATTTTTTTTCTTTTCGATAAAGTCATTTACTGAGCTGTACATTCGTGAATATATGTTACAGTGGACAGAATGTTCCAGAATTATTTCCGATTACGGGGCAAAATATATTGAATAACTAAAAGAAGTAGGTTCAGGCTGGTAAAAGACCCGATGCAGCCAGATTAAAACATGGTATCAATGTATGAAGTGTTTGACTGTTGGTTTAAGCTATGTGGGACGATGCAGACTAGGTGGTTGGGGTCCGCAGGACAAGAGGAACCAGTGGTTGGAGACTGACTCTAGGTGATCACATGGCTGAGAACCGATATCAGTGGCGCAGATATATCCCCACACACATTATCCTCATGTTAACCACGCTATACCGAATCTCACCATTTTCTCATTCTTTCTTTCTCTCTTTTTGTACTTTATATTTCTTTTGACTGAATTTTCTTATCTTCATCTTCCACTTCACTGCCTTTTTACTTGATGTACTGATATGAAGTGTGGCAACTCTGACCGTTACACAGTAATGTCTGGTCCTATGTTGATTTTGATGATGATGATGATGAAAGGAAGTTAATACACATTTGGGAAAATAGACAAGGGATTGTGAAATTAGATGAAATACAGGATGAATGTATGGCAAAGTAGGAAAATGAACGAAGGGTTATGATAATAAAATTGTGATTATATAATGTCGGATAAATCTATGACAGTAAGAAAATGAACAAGGGATGAAGGAAATACATTGTTCACTTTCCTACTTTCATGGATTTATCCTGTATTACATAATTACATTTGATTTCATAATCCCTTGTCTATTTCTTCACTCTAAACCCAAATGTATATATTAATTAACTTCCTTTAGTTATTCAATATATTTTGCCCCCGTAACCGGAAATAATTCTGGAACATTCTGTTCACTGTAACATATACTCATGAATGTACAGCTCAGTAAATGACTTTATCGAAAAGAAAAATTTTTTTTTCTTCTCAGTAACCACGTCTTGTCTTTTCCTATGAAGCTGTTTGTATCATACCTCTATTTTTGGCAATTATTGTATTTGACTAAAAAAAAAAAACAAATTTACAAGATGTTTTACACTCCAATGCACTTTTACATAACTCAACTGTTAGATAAATTCTGATATACAGAGAGGGAGAAGGGGAGTAATTTAGTGTTTAGCACTATAAACGAGAAGATATTGAATATAAGAAGTTAGTCGACAGAAAGGTATCAAGTTACGTTTCGTGCTTTTTGTTATTTCTATCAACGAGATACGTATACCATCTTGATGAAAAACACTTTCCCTCAAAGACTTCAATATCGATCACTTTGTGCTGAAGGCAGTGAATGTACAACTATTCTATTCAGATCATAACCGATAGGGATTTCTTATAATTGACTCACAGCGTCTACCATCGAAATATATAGTGAAATTAATATGAATAATCTTTGATCAGTGCTGAGCTTCTAAGACTTCATAGGTATATTCGTAATTAATCTATATGCAGACTGGAACATATCTTGGTCAACCATCAGAGTCTATATTCATTATTCTTATGAGCTGGTTAGAGTAGTAATGCAGGACAAAGGTGTAGTTATTACCGAAATTTTTATTTGTACCACTGTCTTGCGCATTTCGACGTTCAGATGCCTCAATCATTAATTCAAATGCAGTTCACTCTTTCTTTAATGTTTTCAAGTGTAAGACTGATATCAGCATTTTTTGAATTGCATATGTCTCATTTCCATAAATTCCTATAATAAGAAAGTTGCTCAGGTCTTGAAAGCAATCGGAATAAGATAAGCAGAATAAATCAAGCTTATATTTGTTTCGCAGTTTCTCAGAACCAAAGTAATCATGTTCAGTAGTAGATAGAGTGTTAAAGTTTATTACGGTAATTTATTTGTTTTTGGCTAGCAGAAGAATTTAGGGCATGTGTTTCGTCCTATTTGGGATTCATCAACTGGATGTACCTGCACCCTAGTGAATGGTGTTGTTCTAACCGAGACGCTCGTCCTAGATTCTTCTACTAGTCAACTAGAACCATGTAAATTACCGTAATAAATATTCAGGCGATATCGAAGCATCCACATAAGAACCCGTATCCCAACAGAGGTTGAACAATTCGATTCAGTAAAACAATGGAGAATTACAAGTACATCAACAAAAAGTTACAATGTTCAATTTTATTTATTTAAAAGCAGCCGGAAGAAAAACTTTGGATTCTTAGCATAACAAAAACCGTTTTTAACACATAGAAACATAAAAGTATACTTATGATTTTACCCTACATTAATTCTGCACTTATTTGAGGCTGTTTGGGGCTGAAACGAGTTCGAAAATAAATATATGAACTCAATATATTTGCTAAATTAATATAAGAGTTGAACTTTAACACTGTGGTGGTAGAGTGTGATTCCATTTTAGTTGCTTTAATAAATTTTGTCACACAGTGAAAGAGTATTGTTTAGGTAATCCAGTTAACAGTACTGTTTCACTGTATAATATGTCTAATAAATCAACTAAAAATAGTATTCGATAAATTGTGTTCTTAGTTTGATGAAGGTTTCCATTCGTATCAATTACGTTTTCTATCTATTGGTTCCCAATATTTTGAGACTTATCGATGTGACCAAGCTTTCATTGCAGTCTGAAAATGAGTTGGGATATATGAGAGACTTGTAGCACTACAGTTGCTACTATGCTATACAACATTTTATACTGATGGCATATTTTATGATAAGGACCAGGGCTTTTTTTTGTAGGAAGAGGATTATGAATTTTTTCTGGACAGTATTCAAAACATTCACTGAGGATGCCTCTAAAAGAAAAAAAACTGTTTTAATGTTAAAAACTGTCCTATTTGTGAAGCAGTAGATATCTATTGACAGAGTTGATACGTATAGTACATGTTAGTGTGATAAGAGTGGAAAAATCACTTGCAAACTTCAAACGATTGTTGTTGAATTAGATGAATAAAATGCTTAAGACTCTTATCATTCATCTGTTTAATCAGACACTTTGCTACTGAACTAGTTTAATATAAGTCAGTTCAAATTCAAAAAAACTCAGACAATCATAAAAATGAACCCGTAATACTGGCTTTATATACTGGTGATCGTCTGTAGGTTGAAATTTACAATGTTGTGTTACATTTTTGACTGTTATCTTATTTTAACTGATAAACAAGTGTATTACGCATTGACTACATAGTTGCACTTGTCTACTCAAGTGGATAATTGAAATAGTTTTCGCTACTTCTTTTTTTTTACTAAAGTAATCGTTAAGACTTCACTTAAAATCAACTTAGAGACTAGAAAATGCTTTGAATTAAAAATTACGACCGGAACAGGCTGGAAAACAAATCATGTGCGGATCAAATTGCAACGCTACTCAGTCAACTCTTTACCCCAACTTCATCGACTTTGAAAAGGCCTTCGATCGGGAAGTAATCTGTCAGGCAGCTGCTTCAACACTACGGTTTTAGTGCCACAAACTTTTATCAACATTATTCAACCGCAGCTATATGCTATATGATTGAGGCTACTTGCCAAGTGATTCACAATGGAAAGCTTAGTGATGCCTTTGAAGTGTGACAGGAAGGAGTAAGACAAAGCTGCCGCCTACTATCACCAATGATCTAACTGATTGTGGTCGACTGAACTGGACTGGATCATGCAAGTAACTGTGAGGAGCTGTGAGAAGATAGGCATACGCTGTTTGAGAAGACCGATGAAAAGAGCCTAGGAGATTTGAACTTCACCACCTATGATGAGTTATGATTAATTTCTTGTCGCACAAACTCGAAGATCCACAGGCGAAAGCTAACAAGTTGCTAGAAGAGGCAGGACAGCAAAGGAAGATGGGACTCCCTTCAGGTGGACGTAAAGAAGACAGATGAGGATATCAAAGCCAGAATCGGAAAAGCAAGACAGGCCTTCACTAATCTGAAATAATCAGTATGGAGATCTACTGCACTGCACTGCTGCACTGCACTCAGCATAAAGCGTGAACAACATCCGGACTTTCAACACTACTTCAGTCAAGTCAGTGCTTCTATGTAGAAATGGTTGAGAGACTTGGCGCATTACGGAAAACATTCACAACGAACTACAGACATTCATCAACGGCTGCCGTCTACACTCACTTGATACTGAAGATCAGATGAGATGGTCAGAACAATAAGAATAAGCGACAAGGGACTGTGGCCTGGCAATAAATCAACAGGCGAAGAACCTATTGCCCAACAGATATGCAGAAGAATGAAGTGGAGATGAATTGGATTGGGTTGAACATACATTGTGAAAGAAGACTGTTTGGGGACATCATGCGCCAGGCCAGTTGTTTGAGTGGAACCCAGATGGGAGACGACGATTTGGGTGTCTGAGGTGAGGCGAGGGTGACATGGAGGAGATGGTGTGAGGAAGAAATGAAAGCTTGTTGTCAGTTGTGGAGCCAGGTTGAAAAGACTGGAGAGAAGAGAGTGAAATGGTGACGTGCTACTGAAGCCGTATGTTCCATTAGGAACCCAAGGGACAAATAATAATGACAAGAATATGATCACGAACTTGAGTTGATAAAGTTTTCAATATTGGATTTATTTATGCTTTACGATTTCTTTTCCTTTTTTTAACGAAAAAACAGTTGATTTATTCTATTTAATCTTCAAATTTTTTTCTTTCTTTCAATTTGTAGATAATTATAGTTTGAACTCTGATAAATGGAGTTTAGAAGTATTAACGGGTGCATTAAAACTATTTTTCCGAGAACTTAAAGAGCCATTGATAACCTTCAAAATCTATCCGGAAGTTGCTCAGCTCTTGGGTAAGCTAAATTCTTAACAACTGTTAGAAATTTACTTGAATATTGCTAAATTTCCAACATAAAGCTTATGGTAGTATATCTCACCAAAGAGAGTGTTCGCTAATTATATTACCCTATTGGAGGTACTGTATTCGAACACCTATGAGCGTATTAGGTCCTGTGGTGTGTTATAACGTGATGTGTTCGTCCACTCTCTCCATTATTTAAATTTGTCATAGATATACTTATAGAGGTCTCGTCATCTGACTATGCAATAATTAGTCTTGTCATGGGATACTTCCGAGTAAACTAAGAGTACGCAGATGATGTATTCCTACTAAGTGAAAATGCTGATACAATGGAGAGTCCTTCTGATGCATTGAGTGGTGATTTGAGAATGCTTAGGATGCATTTCTGACCACCCAAATGCAAATTGTTGCGCTGGAACTAGTCTTCGCTGATACTGTCTAACATAAGGAGGTAAAGAGACTGAAGGCGTTGGCCGCCAATGACTGACGAAATCTCTGCTTGGAAACTGAAGCTTGCTTGGTCCTAGCCAGCTTCTTCGCCTTTCTTTCCCGGTTTTTGTTTGCAGCATCCCCATTCCGTCTTCCTTTAGTTTTGTATCTTCATCTACCGTTGTGAAGTGTAGTAACTTCGATCGTTTCTCAAACTTTAGGCACATAAAGAAGTGGTAATCTTCCACGGTATGGGCAAACGCGAAGTGTCGAGTAGCCTCAAAACTCTGTTAACACTCAATTTCCTGCAGATCCATGTCAACCCTCCATATGTTTGCCTTCTAACTTTTTCTTACATCTCTTCGTCAGTATTGCTACGTCACCTTTAATTATTTCCAGCAATGTAGCCCTTGACGACGACCCTAGTTCAGGGAACAGCATCCCTGCTCTCCTGAAACAGCACTCTAAACTACATATTGGAGCTTCCGACATCCGCACCCTTCGTCAGATCAGGGACCAGGCTTTGCTAGCCAAAACTCTATCATCCTGGTGCATAGACGTGTGCTGTGTCTGTGGGACATGTGTACGGGATCTAAGTGCAGTTATTTACGTAATCTCACTATGCAAATATGGCGGATCTGCGAAATTCACTCTTCCAGTTCCTGGGGGGTTGACGACTAGTTCTTGTAGTCTTGCAGCTGTAGGCATAGCATTATGTGCTAAGACAGAAAGCATGGTGCTCGATTGGATCCTAATTGACCGTCGCTTGTGCGCTGTTTGACTGAATAGTCCAATGAGAACTAAAAAAATACAATTAATGAAGTATGCCTTTTTGATCTCTGCTAACCCACCCACTGACTGTAGTTTCGATGAGTCCCACCGGAAATTTCCTAGCCTCCTTTTGAGAGCCTAACGTTTAGATATACTTGTCGTGGCATGTGATTTTAATGCATATGTGGGTAGGCTAAGTCAGACCGGAAGGTACTTAGTTGGCTCTTTTGAAAACCCGACCAAACGGACGGATAAGGATGGTCACCCCCTACAATTGTGCTCATACAACCACCTATTTTTGGCAAACAAGAACTTCAGTCTTACAGAAAGACACGGTCTGACTTAGCGTCTATCAAGTTCTACCCAATGATGGACACGGATAAACCATATTGCTACTAATTATCCCGCTGGACAAAGTTGGTGGAAGATTGCCGCTGCTTCTGGAGCGTATGTTTGAACATTGATCGATCACGTGTGGGTTCGAGCACGTTTCTGCTTGCTCCTAAGCGGATGTAGTAGTACTTCAAAACATTTATTTAATAAGGTTTACGCAACCTATAGAAAGTATTTATTGAAATGCCTTTTAATGCTTTTGTCACCTACGCTACAATTACCTAGTAACTTAATCTCTTGCACCTCTAAGGTCACATTTGCTGCTTTTTGGCTTTTCCGTCCCCCATAATACAAGAGCTAAATAACAACTGAAGCTAAAAAACGACAACGAAAAGATTTATTTAGAATGAAAACTCATGGCAATAAAACCAAGATACAGAAGACGATATACATTATCAGACCCGTAGCCAATTATTCTTCACTGACCAACCTGAATGTACTTTCTCTTAGACTAAGTGTCCCAACTACACACTGTATTTCCTGCATATATTCAGTCTCACTTGGTTGAGGTCACCTAGTTGGTGGTAGGTTTCATCCTTTTCCGTTTCATTGCTGCAATCTGTAGAATGATTAGGAGGAATGATGAAAAGGTATTATTTCTGTTGCCAGTTATTTCCTATGCTAACTGAACTCAGCTATCCAACCACATACAGAGGGGATCGACAGTGGAGATCCATTTAAGTAAATCCATGCTTTAGTGTTTAGTGGGACACTGACTATGTATGGAACATATCTCTCGAACAACAAAAGGAGGAACTTATCAATGCTTTTTATATGGGTTCCTGATTCATAACAGTAAAACTCTACCCGGTACACTCATTATGTGAGTGCCTTTCATATTACACGGTTCGTGAGGCCGAAGTACGTGGGATAAGGTTTGAACCCAAGAACAATTAGTGTATAGTCGAGTGTTTAAACTATACCCACATCTGAGATATAGCGTACATTACTAAAAAAAAAGCTTTCCATAATCTTACTGTTTGTTGTTTGATATGGATGAATTCTTGAAGTTTTGAATGAATAGGGTTAGATGGTGAACATGGTTCCAGAATATCACAGTGAGATATCGTTTTCGAGCGTAGCTTTATAGCGAAAAATGTTTAATAATTTCAACAATACAGACAACATAAAAGATCAAACAATGGATAGTAAATGGACTATATATATATATATATATATATATATCAAGGTAAAGTCGTAATTAAAAATGAAACTCATATATGTAAATGTAATGATAATAAAAGGGATAATCGAGTATTTATTTCAAAAAGGTAGGCTTGATTACAGGTTCGTCTATGAGGTTTCCAATCTTCGTTGAAGTTTTAAATCATGGCTTTTGTAATCGCTGATATACTCGCAAATAGAAGTGGGTCGTTTACTAATGACTTATTGCTTTTACAGTCTAATCTGCAGTACAGCAAAGTAACATAAAGATTTGCCTTTCCATAGTTTCTGGCAACTAAAATAAGTTCATATGCCATTTCTATCTAGAAGATCGTAAAGTTTACACCCGCATTTATCAGACATTCGTAGTTCAAGTACCTGTTATGATTATAGTTACCAGATTTTTGGACTATATCTAACCTTTTTTGCCATCGAAATGTAATCTCACATATCTCTACCATGCAATGCATAATTTTTTCTTTCCTGTCCCGTTTACAGCTAATAAAAATATGGCATCAGATAAAAAAGCTGCCAAAATGAGAGATTTAATTAACTCGATGCCAGCACCACATGTGAACACGTCACGAATTCTTTTTCATCATTTGTATAGGTAAGTAATTTAAGTAATACTTGAAATTCTCCTTGTAGAAATTTTATTATTCTTAACCTTAATATCCAATAAGTTTTATAGAGATGATGAAGTGTACTGTTCATTGACTTATCAGTATACTTCTGATACTATGATATATATCTGGGTAGATGTATAGGGAAAATTAAATTTCGAAAATCAAATATATCGGATTATTTGAATGTAATTGTTTTTCTAGCCATTTATGAGATATACTCAACCACCCTTGACTTCATATTTTGATTACTCCTCCCAATGTATGTGTCTTATAAAAACGTCTCAACGATGCGAACTAATTAGTATTCTGTCGTGAAGAAGGAAATTTTGCATCACGCTACCGTATAATGGGGATCTTAAGATGATGGCTTAATTCAGTTTTTAAAAAGTTATACTATGCAGCCAAGCTCAATACATTAGAGGAAATTAAGTATATGTTAAGAAATTGCACTGAAATTTCAGGTTGCCAAAGATCAAGAATAATTTATGATATATTTTGTTAAAATATATGATCGAATCTTCATCCACTATGTTGCATAAATTATTTCTTTGACAAAAACCCTGCATATTATGATGTAATATTTAACTTGGAGTCGATGCTTGAGCATGTTGTTCACAGTGTAGAGATTACTCCCACTGTCCTCTGATTATTGGTTAGATAATTTGTATGAGCTTACTAGTTAATTATGTACGACATTTTAACTAGAAACTTTTATAGATGTATACATCAACTGAGTCTACAGATTACATCATAGTTGACTTTGTTGATTAGCAGTGAAGTTCAGAAGGTGCATTTAGGACTCATCAGCTAAATTTGCCTACACCCCAGTGAGTGTTGTCCTCATTGAGGCTCAAACTCAAAGCATTATCCACTAGGCCACTGAGTGATGAGAGCCACCACTTGTGCAACAGGTATTAGCTGTTATATATTGTCACTCATATTCACATGTAGAACCCTTTTGCCAACAGAGATCGAGCAATTCGATCCAGTATAATAACGGGAAATTACAAGTAACAATAAACTATTCTACAGATTTTTTCCCACCTCATCAGTTAAAAATTGTGTTTTGTTTCAATATATGATACACCTTTCTATTGTAAATAAATAGAACGTGATCAAGTGGTATATGATCTCGAATTAGGGAAATGAAACAATAAACAGGTGGCACAAGAATTAAGTGGTGTTCATCATTCAGAGCATAGTGAAAGGTGAATATGTCTGTATCACATACATCACTACTGAAATCTATCAGTTGACTTTCTTAGAATCGTTAGAGTTGTTTGTTGTATCAAGTAAAATGCTTTAAATTTTTTATACAATATTTACTGACTTCAACTGATCACCATAAAGTGTCTTGCATATGACAATAGGGTGGATTACGTTTATTGGAGCTTTTCTTTTACTTCGAACTGGTCATCAAGTATGTAACACAGATTGCAAGTAAGAACTGAAGAGATTCAATCACTTCATATTCCTATTGTGTCATTGAAGGCAAAAGTTCAAAAACCTCTTTATACTAGAATACACTTGGCTTTACATCTACATGTACACATAAAGTAACCTTAGGGTTCTCATTACATCTACAGTTTTCATACTAGTAGGATGAATTTTTAGATAGGATATAACTCAAAACCGTGTGCGCAAGTTCGAGTATTAGGTAGTGAGTTATACCTATTGTGTTAGAATTGATGATACTACTTAGGTAGGTTGAGTAGGATTTAAACCCTTAACGTTGAAGTGTGAGGTATACATCTAGAGTACATTTCCAAGGGAATTAAGATGCCATTACGTTAGCTTAAATCACTACTGATACTGGTTCAGATACAGTAGAATTTCAGAAACTGGCTAGAAAAACCTCATAAAGGTTGTTGGGAATCAAATAAATATGATGAAGCGTAATTAACTATTACTGAGCATGCACTTAGGTGGTCAACACTTTCATGACTCTCCATATCGAGAATATATACTTTTAATACAAATCGAGAAAAAACTGTATCAGAGATAAGTTTACATACAGTGATGAGTTTTTTAATTTTGTTAATATTTCGAGCAAAATTATTACCTGTGATTACACCAGCAGTTGAAATTTTCTTATACTAAAATTCCAACTGTTGGTGTGATCACGGGTAGTAACTCTGCTCAAAATATTAACGAAATAACAAAATTAATCCATCCCACAATACATAATTGTGGAACTTCAGGTGAACGTAGAAAAGATAGAGGTGAAGATATCCAGCCAGCAACAACAACAAGCACCAATCACCATGAACGGGAGAATTCTAAAGGAAGTTGTCTCTTCCACCTACCTAGGCAGCATCGTCTCAACTACAGGCGGCACAGATGAGGATATCAAAGCCAGAATCGGAAAAGCAAGACAGGCCTTCACTAATCTGAAATAATCAGTGTGGAGATCTACTGCACTGCACTCAGCATAAAGCGTGAACAATATCCGGACTTTCAACACTACTTCAGTCAAGTCAGTGCTTCTATGTAGAAATGGTTGAGAGACTTGGCGCATTACGGAAAACATTTCCAACAAACTGCAGACATTCATCAACAGCTGCCGTCTACACTCACTTGATACTGAAGATCAGATGAGATGGTCAGAACAATAAGAATAAGCGACAAGGGACTGTGGCCTGGTAATAAACCAACAGGCGAAGAACCTATTGCCCAACAGATATGCAGAAGAATGAAGTGGAGATGAATTGGATTGGGTTGAACATACATTGTGAAAGAAGACTGTTTGGTGACATCATGCGCCAGGCCAGTTGTTTGAGTGGAACCCAGATGGGAGACGACGATTTGGGTGTCTGAGGTGAGGCGAGGGTGACATGGAGGAGATGGTGTGAGGAAGAAATGAAAGCTTGTTGGCAGTTGTGGAGCCAGGTTGAAAAGACTGGAGAGAAGAGAGTGAAATGGTGACGTGCTACTGAAGCCGTATGTTCCATTAGGAACCCAAAACACAAATACTATAGTAATAATACAGTGCACAGACTTTTCATTGGTGTATCAGAAATACTTTTGTTTATGGTGTACACATTGTTAAGGAATTATGATTGAAGTTAAAGCTTAATTCACTAATCTTATCATAATATAAACATTTCCATACTGGGTGATAGTTGAAGGTGAAATGAAAATTTAGACTGCGACCGGATTCGAATCAGCCATCACCGGGTTTCCGTTTCGATTCTCTACCAACTGAGTTGATAGGTGAAGACGCTGACAAGATGCAGAGTCTTCTGAACACTTTGAGTGGGAATTTGAGAATGTTTGGGATGCGGTTTTCACTACCCAAATGCAAATTTTTGCCCCAGGACTGGTCTTCAGCGGTGCCCACCGCGGCTAACAATAGAGAGTGAAGTGGTTGAGTGTGTTGACCACTTCACTTACCTGGGTAGTAGGATCAACCCTGGTGGGTTAGTTGCCGATGAGATTTCTGCACGGATACAAAAGGCTCGATTTGCTTTTGCCAATTTGCGCCACCTATGACGCCGCCGTGATATTCGTTTGTCTATTAAGGGTTGCGTGTACTGCACAGCAGTCCGCTCTGTTCTACTGTATGGCTGTGAAACATGGCCATTGAAAGTGGAGGATATGAAAAGGCTTCAGGTGTTTGACCTTCGTTGCCTTCGTAGTATAGGACGTATTCCGTGGTGTCACCATGTGAGTAATGCAGAAGTTAGGTGTAGAGTTTTAGGGAGAAGAGGTAAGTCAGTTGACGAGGTTGTGAACCTTCATCGACTGAGATGGTTGGGACACGTACTACGTATGCCTAGTCACCGATTGCCTCGTCACACAATGTTGGCTGAGGTGGGTCCAGGCTGGAAAAAGGCCCGAGGTGGCCAGACTAAAACATGGCACCAGTGTATGAAGTCTCTGACTGTTGGTTTAAGCCATGTAGGACGATGCAGACTAGGTGGTTGGGGTCCACGGGACAAGAGGAACCAGTGGTTGAAGACTCTAGGTGATATGGCTGAGAACCGATGTGAGTGGCGCAGATGTATCCCCACACACATTATCCTCATCTTAACAACGCTATACCGAATCTCACCATTTTGTCACTCCTCTTTCCTTTCTTCTCGTACTTTATATTTCTTTTGGCTGCATTCTTTTATCTTCATCTTGCGCCTTAATACCTTTCTACTTGATGTACTGATATGAGGTGTGGCAACTCGGACCGTTACGCAGTAATGCCTGGTCCTTTGTTGATAATAATGATGAAGATGATGATGGTAACATTTTCATCAATTTCATAATTGACTTTAGTCGATTTAATCTTACTTACTTCATATCAATTTCACTTTAAGGGTAATGCAATTGTCGAAAATAAATCAAATGCATTCTTATAAATTGGCTATTGTATTTGGACCAAGCTTAATTTGGCCAGAAGTAGATTCTGCTGCATTTGGAGCACTCACATCTGTACAGGCTCCATGTGTAGAATTTCTACTAACACATGTAGAAGAAATATTTGGACCAGTGACTCCACCACCAGTGATTTAAATTTATATATGAATCAAATGAATTTCAACTATAGGAATGTTCAGTCAATTTTTGTTTGATTCAATTAAACACTTATTGCTCAAAATATTTATTCTTTTATATGATCATAATATTGTTTTAGAGAGTACTCATCAATATTTTTGATCTCTATCTCTTTATACATTTTATCACAACACATGTATAGTGTGTATTATTTTGATGTTTCTTGCACGCTTCCACTTGATAGCCTTGCAAAATTTCAAAATTAGAACTTTAATCTTTCTTTTTTTTTTTTATCAAATACAATCAAGTAAATAGTATTTCTCTACCTGATATTGTTCACTTTTCAATAAAAACTTTTTTTTATATTTTAATTAATGTAATTTTTCATCTTATTGTATCTTAAAATTTGAATGAATACCTAATCATTGTATAATAATCGTATTTTCAGTCTAAAATTGATTAAAAGTTGGTTTCAATCTCCGTTCATGGATGTCTCTCTCTCTCTCTCTTCTTTAAACTGTTCAGTAGTGATTTGACCAACTTGTCTCTATTATGACTATCTGATATTAAGTTGTGTTCAAAGCATGTATACACTCATACTTCGAATAAATTCAAAACGTCTTCATTATTACCAACAAAATATTAACTAGAACCATTAATTCTATTGAGATACTTCTTCTGAGCAAATAGATTAGAAGATAATTTGTATGAAATGTAGACGTACGATAATACTACTACCACGAAGGAATGTTCAATTAATATATGAGAATTGGCGTATTTTGTCGTAACTTTCAACCTGATTGACAAAATCAACATAGAACCTCTCACATAGGTGCATCGGCTCAAGTTACCACACTTCACAGTAATACACAAAGAACAGGAGGATAGAAAAGGAGTGATATTAAAATAGGTAAGGTAGTGTGCGAGAATAAAAAATCTGAATATAAACGTTAGTGTAAATATTCAGGCTTTTAGGAAATATCAAGTAGTGAATATTTCTGCACCATTGTGACCGATTTTCGTCTCCGGGACCGCAATCTTTTAGTCTACCTCTCCTCATATGACTCAGACCATCAGTAAGATCTTCATCGACTGATACCATATCTTGGTCTGGCTACCCTGCACCCTCTTTGAATCTAATCTAACTTCTCCTAGCATGGCACATCGAAGTAGGCAGAGACAAAGCATGCGCAGTACATATCTAAGCCACCTCACTCGACTAAGGTTCACAACCTACGGTTTTATAAAGGATTTTGTCCTACTAAATTAAGGGGGGGGGATGTTGAAATAGACATTTATAAAACTCTGCACAGTAGCTTATAAGTCATCAGATTTGTTGACAGTATGAGCAAAATTAACGAGAGAAACAAAATACTGAAGTGACGTAATAATTAACGAATAGGTAGAATTGATTAAAATGTTCAGTAGTTGGTGGCGTGCTTCAGAACGAACTACAACACTGCGGAGACACTTTTTAACCGCCTCTAGCAGACGAATAAACGTAGAAGAGCATCAATTCAAGCTATCACACTTCACAACAGCATACAAAAAATAAATAGTGAGAAAAAGTAAGATTGAGGTAAACAAGAGTGTATACGAATAAATAAATCAAGGATAGGGACGAGGTTCAAACTTTTGGTGCTAAAGAGTGAATATACCTGTATCATTGTGACGGATTTTGATCTGTATCAACCATCGATTTCTATCGTTTCGATGACCACAACCAAGCAATTTATATCTTCCTACTCGGCTCAGATAAATAGACAAAGACTTCATGGATTGACGCTCAATCTTGATTTGACCATCCTGAGTCTTCTTCTAACCCAGTCTTACTTCAGCTAACACTGGGCAATGGGGTAGATAATGTTTCGGCATGCACAGTAAGTCCCTAAGTCACCTCAGTTGCTAAAGACTCACAGCTTCATCAACTGACCTACCTTATTCGCCTATCCTCCATAGGCTCACACAGTGCTTTCACCCCGCCTGAATAATCCCACAAACACTTGCTTAGAACTCTGAGGTTTCATTATGAGCGTGTTTCACAGCCGTATAATAGGACAGAGCAGACTGCAGAACAATATACTCGTGCTTTAATGGACAGTCGGATATCTTGCCAGAGATGACACATGTTTTGTATCGGAGCTGGTATTGCATAAGCAACCAACCCATTCAGGTTGGTTCGACTCCGTAAAACTAGGAGTTGATGCACATCGGTCCTGAAGCACAATTTCACATTTGACAGATACAAAACAGGTCAGAAATACTCAGGTTTCAGTTCCGAGAATTCGGAAGACAGCATTTTGTCGGCGTCATCACAAAACGGAATTGTCTGACAAACAGATGCCCTGCTGTGATTAGGTCAATCACTGAAAAGTAAAATATACATAAGGTTATATGCTGCACGAGAATCATGATATGACGTACTCGGTAGGCACTACTGACTGCTGTTACTTCCCGTTATTGTTTCTGCTTTCGCCTCATATTAGATCTAGTTACTTGATATAACACAGTATTACTTACCTGATGACTTTCGAGCATAAATTATTGTTCAGTCATATCAAAGTAATCAGTTTTCGACACCTGACTTTTATCGTCCTATCACCTTATATTCTTTGTTTTTAGTAGTAGTAAGTATTGCGTCATTCCCAATACATGAAGTGGGTATTGATTTCATGAACAAAGATTCAGTAACTGATCTGTCTCCATTTCAGACTTAAATACAGTGGTTTTATCCCAAGCTGTTATATGAATGCATGCATTGTAATAACCGAAATATGTTTTCTAGATTACTGATCCTTTTGGGTCAATCGTCCTACATTTGGCTAAATTCGCATAATTTAACTGACCTTGTTCGGCCTATATACTTGACCACACTGTTAATGCATAGTGTTAAGTAGACCGAATGACCTTATTCGCGTATCCTGATCATTAAGTCTTGCGTTGCTTACATCAACATTGGGATTTGTCACGCAGAGAATTCTTGTTGTCTACCGGAATGGATTTACAAGTGTCAGGAAGTTGGAAAATACAATGTTCATTATCCGGATGCTTTACGAACCCATATCCGATTTACTCGTCTTTTTCATCACATCTTGTAATTAAACCACTGTATATCTATGATTTTAGGAGGGTCAACAGGTGGGGTTGAATAGAGATGGACTTGATATTTAGTTACAATACTGGGTGCAACTAATTTGCTTGTATCGACCTATTTAGATTGACAATTGGAGTTATCGCAAAAATGAACTTTAACACGTAGTCTGACTTCAGAGAGGTGCTCGCGAAAGGTGGTCTTGAATACAGCTATGCTATCGGTGACAGTGAGAAGCATGAATACACAGGAGGCGATGACTGTATTAGGAGTTGGTACTAGCTGAAAAGGCCTATCATCTGCAGGAGGTTGTTAACATTAGGAGACTGATCCCCACTGTTTACCTAAATGGCTGTCCTGTGAACCAGATCTGCTCGTTCAAGTCCCTAACTGGCACTACAATATGTGTACAGCGCACTTGATTGAGGTCACTCATATGATGTTAGGATTGGTCTTTAGCTGTACACTCTCCGAGTATAGGCAGAGATGACGAACAAACTACTCTTGCTAGTTGCTGATTATTATAACTGAACCTTTCATCCTAGAAGCACATATATGACAGTTAACGGAATCTAATTGACTAGAGTGGCTTTGACTCGAACACAGTATGACGTTGGTAATAGAAACGATGTTGTAGGGTTCTTGAATAAGTGCATGATAAACACATTTTTGAGCTGATCGATGGAGTTATTAGGGGCATCCCACCTATCCACTCTAGATCCTAGAGCTTATGTATACCATCAGTTTGGAATCAGGGTTTTCCAGATGTTCTAATTCGACTGTCCTTATACATCGATCATGTGGTAAGCGCCAGACGTTTTTCAATTAAACGACAAGCTTATAGGTATGTAGGCAATGAAGAAATAGTAGAATAAGTTGTACTAATATCCGTCTGTCTCTATTAGTTCTACCTCGTGGTTTTGTTTTCCGATTTCATTGTGATTGTAGCATAACTTCGATTATGAATTCCGCTTGCTTCCAAGTTTGATAACTTTTATGCAGATCGTTCGTCAATCAAAAAGATGCTAGTTTAGATGAATTACAATATTCACTAAATTCGTAGTAATTTACATAAATGCATAGCATTGAGTCCCCATAGTACAATCCATTTAAGTAACATAGGTAATATCGCAATGTTGCTTATATGCTACAGCCGTTTGAGCGCTTTCCGAAATGATGAGGCGTTACGTTGAGCAACCTTTGGATGTGTGCGGTCAGTTGAATTAGAAGACCTGAAACAATAAGATACACAAAACACGGTAACTATGGAGAAACGAAAAGTATGTGGAAGCGGATGAAGATAGCGTCAATAACTTGCCTACGTGTTTCAGTTGCAAAATAGATTTTGAAGCTAGTACGATTTAAAATGGAAATATCAGCTTTCTACTAATTAAAATTTACTTAGGGTATCCAGAAAATTGATTTTAAGAAACAGTCAATGGTAAATTTACTACATGTATTCCAATACTCAGAAGTGATATTTAATGACTGAACAGAAAATTAGGAAATGGAGACACACTAAGCAGAACCAACCCCCTCTAGCTGGTAACATATTTCTGTCCTCTTTTTTTTCTCCTCACTACAGTGGTGATAGGAAAGTTCTGAATAAAAAAATTGGCATCTCTTCTACATTTGATGTAGTTTTATTAGATATACAACTTCATAAATCCATTACCTGGATTGGCGGAGTGAATTAAAAGTAGGAATATCCTAAAATAAATCTATACAAAAAACAACTGAGATCTGTAGCTAATTGTTCTTTAGTAATGTTTAACATCACTTATATGATACCAATGAAAAAGTATAGGAGTTATCAGACAACTAACCATATAACTGCATTTATTTTTGTAAATAATTTCAAGTGGATAACAAAAACTTTGAATGATTTCCAGATAAGGCGAAAAATATCTTGAACTCATGTACTGCTAGCCCACTTTTTCCCACCGCGTATCACACACTTATGGACAGAGAAAACTGTCTGACGAAAGTCAACGAGTATACCAGGAAGACAATCACCATCAGTGACGACATGAAGAGAATATCATGTTATTGTGAAGGTTCTTATGGCTTGCCACGTTCAAATGTCATAACGTCAACGTATGGAAGCTCAGACAGTCAGAAAGGCATCATAGAGACACTTAAGGAATCTCATGCCAAAGAACCAACAACGGTGATCGTCTGTTGCAATTTTATCCCGTAGTCACTTGTTTTTGGCCGGCAACAACTTTAAACATAAGGAGAGACACTGTCTCACATGGCGTCCACCAACATCGAACCAATAATAGACACAAATAGATCATATTGCTATCAGCCATCGTTGGAAAGGATTGCCCCTTTTTCTGGAGTATCAGTCTCAACTTCAATCACGTGCCAGTACAGGCTCGTATATAATTGCGCCTGACCGGTCACAGGAGATAGTTAAGCCTGTATGTTGTTGACTGCAAGATGAGAACGTGAAGTACGTATTTAGGGAGGAGTCAGCTAAGGATTTATTTGAAAGACACAACAATGCTCATTCTGAGGAAACCTGGCATGATATTAGGTCAGCCGTACAAGTAGCGATAAAGATAGACGAACAGAATCAACATTGAACCTTGCACTCAAGTGCATCAGTTCAAGTTGCCACACTTCACAGTATTATACAAAGAACAAGTGGTTCGAATAAGAGTGATATCAAGATACACAAAGTTGTTTGAGACAATAAGTAATTTGAACATCAAAGTTAGCCCAACTATTCAAGCTTTAGAAGACGTCAAAAAGTGAACACATCTGCGCCACTGCAACCGATTTTCAACCATGTCGCCTACAGTGTTCAAACATTAATTCCTATCGTCTTGTCAACCCCAGCCAAGTAGTCTACATCTCCGAACACGGCTCAGACCAATAGTCACAGACTGACAAGTTTTGGTCTGGCCACGCTGAACTCTCTTCCAACTTAATCCAGCTTTTAGCATGACATGTCGAGGTAGTCCATCAGTAGGTAGGTTGCTAAACTTTCGCAACGTCATCCGAACCGACTGATGCAGAAAGACGCATTCTAGTCAGCTCTGATTACAATGAAGACAGAAAGTAACTTAAGCGTAAACTGACCAAGTCTTCGCAGTGACCATGAGTAGTCATAAGTGGCGATAGAGACAGAGATGAAGTTGGGTAATACTCGGCAACTACTGACGGTTGCTAAGGATACCGCGAAGAGGATGATGGTTAATGAGGCCATCGCCGAAAAGGATGGTACCCTGATAACCTCCCAGGACAGGTGGCTAAAACGTTGGGCACAACACTGTGAAGCAAAATTCAACTGGCCCACGGTAACGCTTAAGTTGTTAAGCATCCAGCCCAAACCTGAGTGGCACACAACTATTGGTTCTCCAAATCTCCTCAAAATTAGGAAGGCCATTTCGTACCAGAAACGGTGCAAAGTACAAGGATATGACGGTTGTGAGTTTTCAAGGATGGAGGTAGAAAAATGCTGGTTGAAGTGACAGAGGTACTCGACAGTGTATGGGAATCAGAGGTAGAGCCGTCAGACTTATTTACTTCTTCAATTATCCTAGTCTATAAGAGCGAGAAATCTTGACATTGTGGTCAATGATCCTAGGGTCCATAGTTAACCGAAACCTAACTGGAGCTTGAGAACAGTGAACTGAAGAAAACCAGACATGTCTCACTTCTTGAACAGGGTGCATCAATCAGATCTCCATCACTCAACAGGTTTTGGAACATAGTTATACTTTACTGTGGCACCCACTTGGTTTGAAGGCAGCATTCGACTCTATCGACTATGAAGTGTTGTGGCAGTCTGACTGTGAAGAGGGTACCAAGCAAGTGTATAACGCTAATCAGAGATTTATACTCGAACTCATCCAGCCACGTCAAGGCTTATGGATAGCTTTCATATGAATTGACGACAACTAGTGGTGTCATCCGGGGATACCCACTTTTACCGTCCCAATTCAACTTCATCACTGATGTACTAAAGGACATAACCTTAGATACCTATGAATTCAAAGGGATTGACCTACTTCCTGTAAGTCATCCGGTTGACTCGGAGTATGCAGACGATATTGTCCTGCTAGGTGCTAAATTTTAAAACGAACGTTATGAGGCATTTAATATCTAAACTGCCCATTTTCCTGAACCTCAGTTTTGAATACAGTAATAAGTGCATGCATGGTGAGGTAAACTTACACATTATCCGTACATTTTACCTCTTCCAACCCGTTTTTCGGATTACTGCTTTTGGACTGCTCTCTAACGTGCCAAAAGGCATGAACTTCAGTGAGGAGCCGAGCTTCAGATACGAATTCACTGTAATCTTCTAATAACAGTTTACCAGCTTCCTCATTCAGAGCTGATTCTGGATTAGGTTCTATCATCAAGCACCTTATTGTCTAAGAAATCAGTAACACAATATAACGTACTAGAAGTATGTGTCGAAGACCCAAGTTAGACTTCCAATCTTTTTTCAGAGTATTGACGCAAACTTCACCGGTAGTCGGGGCAATATTTGGATGAAATATTTTCGTGCAAAAGTACGCCTTTGGGGGCTCTATGGGATACTGTAATGGAATTATCATCCTGAGACGGAATTTTCCGCCCTCATAAGGAGTCCCTACAGGACCATCTAGTAGAGCCTTAAAAATATAAATTATGACGCAAACTAACTTCAACTTGGGTCATATCTCGCTCATTGAGTGTTATTCGAATACCATCAATCGGATCAGCGGTAAAATCGCGCCACTCTTTGTACAAACGCCGAGCGAACTCTGGGATTGCATTCTCCATTTCTCAGTACCAAATTGAGTCCCTGCTGCGGAACGTAATTACAATTTGGCGCGAGTAAGATACAAGCAAGCAGCGTAATTAGGACAGTGACGCACTCCAAGGTCATGTCTGGATCACAAGATTGGTAGATCTAGAAATGGATTCTGGGTATCGGTTAGCGCGCTTTTAATGACAGTAGTCAAAATACCATGTTTTCAGCCGTAACCATGATGTCTTGTGATGTGAGATTGGTGATCGATAGAGTCATGATAATGAATAATTCAGAATTGTCCTAGTATGAACTTGACAAACCCAGAGGCCAATCACTAAGTATTCTTACTTGTTATGTACCCACGAATAAGAGAACAAAATAGTGTAGTAGGATGGGGTAGTATGTTTATGAGGTCGTGTCAAGATACCGATGAGTTCCAGCTAAATGATTTCAGATTCTTACTTGTTGTTTGAGAATAGGAGGCTGAGAGCTGTGAAGACTGCATGAAATTGTGTATAAACTACTCAAATTAAAAGTGTTTCATTTTCATTTTGTACATTTTTCCCAGTACTTGCAAAACCGAATGCTGTTTATCTGAACACACCTTTTGGTTGTGGTGGTTATTACTGACTTTTCTGCCGCTGTTAAACGTGGAAATACAGCGTGCTTCTGTCCATTCCTACTTCTCTCTCCGTGACTATTGCCTGTCGTGAATACTCGTCGGCTGTCTTTGGGTTTTACAGGACCTCTCATCCTACTTCCAAATATTACGACAATCAAGCCAACCAACATCAGCTGTGGGGAGCTAATAAGTATCGACGTCTGAACTCCAGAGTATACAACACCGTATGAAACAGTAGCGAAGACATAACATTCAAGTAACCAGTTATTATACATAACATTGTCGTTATTATTTTGGTGTCATAACGCATAAATTTCCATATTTCTGTGTCAGTGAATCTGTTTTTTTAATTTTATGTAGTTTATCACTTCGGATTACTTGACATTTCTTTGGGTCCACTACAGAGCCTATACTAATCCTTTTCCAGTAGATTTCTGTGCTTGTGCAATTCCCTTTGGACCAAGCCAATTGATGACGTTGACACTACTTCTTCTGGGAGTCGGTTCCAGGCATTGATTACTCAATGTAAGGGCCAGTGCCCTGCGGAGAGCCTTTGTTCTTTGATTTCGTAGCCTCTTACCATGTCCTGTGAGGTGTTCCAGCGTAGTGGGGGGAAGAGAGAGGATGGATCACACCTGAAGTCATTTTTAGAATCCTGTATAGCGTGATTAGGTTTCCCATGTGTCTGCGATAGGAAAAAGTGAAGAGGTTCGGCTCCTTAAGTCTGTCTTCATAGGTAGGTCCAGCCATCGCAGGGATTATACGAGTGGATGACTAGCGGGTCGACTGTGAGGAGTGTGACGTAACACGTGGCGTGGATGCTCTACCAGGTGCCCTGAGCTAAGCGAGTAAGGTAAAATTATGAAGGTTAGCATCGATGTTGAACTTCGTCGAACCCCAGGCTATTGGTTCTGGAGAAGCGGATGACACTACCTGTGAATCAAGTCGTGAGGGAGCATTTTGAGCAGGAAATTTTCAGTTCGCTAAGATATTTCAACGGACTAATTTGGACTTTGTGAAATCATTCAATTCTGGGTGATTTTGTGGCGTATATGTGTACGTTTGGACACAAAAAGAGTGATCGATCACACAGTGTTAGGCTGGGAATGCTGTAATCGTTTCATGGGTGTTATTTTACACCCTTATAGGTCTTGATGTACAAAATCTCATTCGTCTTCTTACATCAGTCGTGTAAACAACGAGCTGCTTGTTTCATGCATCAAAGTAAATCATGTCAAGCTGATAACCAGATAACAGATTCAGGCTTGTTGTTTTCGAATGGAAGTCTGTGAGCCCATAATAATCCATTTCCATTAGTTTGGTTTGCTTGTTCAATCCTCTATTGAAGGAGTCGAACGATGGCGCAGACACCATCTCTTCTGTGGGTCGGTCTCAGGGGTTGACCGCCGGAGGCTAGAAGCAGCACTCTACGGAGGCTGCGCTTGTTCTTTTCTTTTGCATTCTTTTAGCATGTTCTCCGAGGTGCCCCGACCTAGTGAGATGGAAAAGATAAGACAGACTAAGTCCGAAGTAATTTCTTAGAATCCTGTATGGCATGACCAGATCTCACTACTGTCTGTATGGAATCAGGAGAAGTTAAACTCCACAAGTCGATCTCCCCAGATCTCCCCCAGACATCAAGGGGGTCGTACTAGCGAATGTACTCTGAAGTCTTTCCAGTGGATGTGAGTCATTTTTCAGGCAAGAATTTGTGACCTGTGCACAGTTTTCTGTTTTAGACCTAACGAAGTATGCATATAAGATGGCGAACATATCACGACTTGTTTCGTAAGCGTTTCGCGTAATGCCCGAATCGTCCTAAAGCCCCGAGCTGTGGCCAGTGGACAGTGAGCTGTGGTTTTCAGATCATAACTCTCTGTGATTCTTGGGTCATTGTGACCCAAGACTAAGGGTAGAAGAGTCTCACCAATACAGTGGTTGTCGTCGTCTGTGTGCCCAAGTGCAATCCAGCCAGCAATTACTTCTGGCGCACTTCGGGTTAGGGCATATACATTCTTTCCATTGCCTATTTCCGCTTATGAGATTTCCAGCATATGGACACATTCTACAACAACGTTTGAACGATTCACATAAGGTTGCAAACCATGGTTTCATAAAACTGTCGATCTTTAATATTCGGAAAATAAGGGCCCAGTGTCAACGCCTCTTGAACCTCTGGCTGAATGTACAGACTTTGGGTAATTCAGGTGCACTTGCGGAACTTAAAAAATTCCCGGACTATTGCATACACTTTGGGTAGCGCTAGACACTTGCAATGAGCTTGACTTTACACCACAAACACCATTTCGCGGCGGTTTTCTTGGGGTTTATTCTACTTTCATGTACACTTATCACTTTTTGAAAGTTCCTGTGCGAGGCGTATGAGTATATGCTAAAAACACTAGATGCGATCACTGACGGCATTGAACCTCATTTTAACACACCAGAAAAACTGACTGGTGAGCTGAATATCAGGGGAAGCTCGTCGAAGCAAGTTGTTTATATATGCTAGGAAAGGAAAAAGTCCAATTACTGGACCGGGAGAACTCCACTTGGACACTTCATTTCTTCAAACATGGAGAAACTCACTGGAGCTTTGTATGATCGGCCTCATAGATATGAGGACATCCAATCAATGATCGGTGGTCCGACCCAAGATTAGTTTGAATTTGTGAATAAGGCAATCGTTCGCGCATCTATAGATGTAATTCATCCGTATACGTCAACAAACAGCTGGAGTGGTACGGGCGCATTGTGTCTTAACATTAAGGAAACTAAGACTAATTATATCCAACATCATCAGGTAGATGATAACCCTTGAAAAACTAACAGCAAATGAATCTGTGATAATTTCTCGGATGAATTGGGGAAACAATGAAGGTTCTCAACGGCACCACGTGCAATTAAAAAAATGAGTGAACGCCTATTATGTGGACTGTATTTCATAATAAAAAAGACATTCAACACAGTCGTGAATATAACTATGAAAGAAACGTAGAAATTGGTTGGACAGACAAGTAGTTTGGAATCATGCCTGAGTCTGGTAACGTGCCCAGAATGTATGAGTTGGACGGTATCTGATAAACTTGATAATAGATTTCGGGAATACACTGGCGTATATGTTGTCGAAGCCATTAGTTAACACGCTACCACCAGTACCAGACACCCGGCAGGCAAAATTTGTCGACTCCTTGCAAATGGTGGAAAGACTTAGGAAAGCTAAAATAAATGAAGAGGATGAGCTAGTTAGTTTTCACATGGTCAGCCTATGTGCGAAAACGCCAATAAAGATAGCTGCGAGATCACCGAAGGCAAGATTTAAAAAAGGATCATCTGAGAGAAAGCGTCAGGGACGCCCATTTCCTTTACATTCCACACACACAGCATGTACATGTTTGAGCTGGTGTATTCCACTCTCTTTTCCCGTACGTGGATCGCATTTCATATGACCCATACGGTTTGGATTGGCACTTGCCTCCTAAACTGTGTTAGTTGTTCCTTGTCTTTTAAGGTTACTGTAAACCTTTTAAATAGGGTCCGTTTTCATTCCGAGATACTATAAACTCATCCGACTTCCACTCTCTTGATTTCTCTCTGCGAATCATTAGGGTTGAATCGTCTCAATCCTCGGGTATAACTTGTTGGGCATCTTCGTTCTTTCTCGCAACTCCTCATCATAACAGCGGCAACAGGGTCAATTTTCTGGTAATGGACAGTTCGAAAATTGAATGAATGTTAGAACAACAATTCAAGCCTACCGAAATTCGGGCTCGCAAGAAGACTGCTACTGCTGCACTAGTTTTCTTCCGCTGGTTCCCAACTTTCTGCAAAGTTCTTCAGTAAACTCGCCTGGTTACTAACATCCTGGATGGTACCATATACGAAAACTCAACTACAATAACTGGTCTAAGGCTTCTGGACGGTCATGATGGTAACGAAAAGCTGGAAGAATAACCAACTCTAAACAATAAACTTACCTAGTGACTCAAAGTGAGATATATTCGCGAACAAACCCACACAACAAGCATCTCCAGCACTTTCCTTCATTTGGCTCCGTCTGAAAGAAAACATTAGCGGTCAACTTACTTCCTTGATAATGTTGGACGCTTCAGCGTGAATTCTATGTGCAAGACTCCACTACCACTGGATAATGGTCCTTCAAATGATTATTTCCTTTTACCGCCGCAGCCAATTTTGATGGCTTGCACCCGTATTGGTGTATGTGGTAAGACTACGAGTGGGAAACGTGTAAACTCAGATATCCACGTGGATTAGGTGGTTATGTTAACACTTACTCTTACTTGAAACTGATGAAGTGAGTTTTTGTTGACCAATGATACTATAGACATGTAAAAAGATGTTAAAATAAACGTTTATCTGACGAAATACAGAACTACACCGCCAGATTAAACATCCCGGTCACATGTAACCCAAACGTCGAATATTGTGCGACTTTGGTGCCACTTTATCGGGAAAAAAGAATGGTGAGTGGAGACGACCGAAACCCATGAACAGTCTGCATGTATTGCAGGCACTTTCAATATCATGATAAAA